ATCCAAAGATCAGCATTTATCTGAAATAAAAAGCTTTTATAACATTATACACTATTCTATTCAAAAGCTTGGAGTCAGTATAATTTTTTATTTTTTATTTTTTTGGGAGGGGTGAAGAAATTATAGAAATTAATACTTTTAGCAAGGATGCTTTAAATGTATCAAAAATGATGATAAATACATTTATAATGTTACAAAATATTTCTATTTCAGATAAATGCTGTTCTTCTGAACTTTCTATTCATCAAAGAAACCTGACAAATTTCCACTCAGCTGTTTTCAACATAATAATAAAAAAAATGCCAGGGCCGATTTTTTGTCCCAGTCCAGCCCTGGCTCAAGGCCTTCTTCAGTGTGTTAAACAATAATATTAATATAATATTATACTAATATAACAATAATTGTATTTCAACTTAAGCATTTTTTCCTGTAGTTTTTATATTTTAATTAGTGCCGTCAATTGATTTAAAAAACGTTAACTAATTAATCGCACATATTTCCTGAATTTAATCGTGATTAATCCCACCTAACATTAAAGTTTTTAAATATACTTTAATAGTGCAATAATTTAACATTAAATCTTCGAATTAATGTACAAACAACATAAAGACAGTATATTTTAATTGTTAAACGGCATCTTTTGTTTTTAACACTGAAGGCCAGTATCACTGATACCAATATTACTGATGTCTCTATAAAATAGTTTTTCCCATAATATTTAACCATTGACTACAGCCATTCAACATTACAGTATAACTGAGAGCTATCAATTTTAACATTTATTAGACTTTAAAAAATAACAACTTCTAATTTAAGAGAACTTAAAACAATCTTCACATAAACCCATTATAATAAATATCATATTTACCTGTGCCCTTCAGCAGAAATATACAGAAGTTGAAATTGAAGTTATCAAACACTAAATTCTAAATTAAATAATATAGATGAATCCTTAAAGCTATAAAAGTTATTGATGTCCTCTTTTTTCTTTTTTCCTTTGATGAACAGACATCACAGCAGCTGGTTATTAGATTGTTTTGGCTGCTGTTACTTTAAGAGCTGTCGCTGTTGAACGTGTCTCGGATCTGACATGCATCGTATTTTCTCTCAACTCTCTTTACCTTTTCTGACCCACTTCAGGTCTTACAGTTTTTTACGATTGCTTACACACTAAAATTAAACTTTTCCAACAATTAGCAAAACCTTACACTCATGGAGCAAAACACACTTGCTAAAAGTGTTTTAAGTTAGCAACAGCGGTGTGTAACTGGTTCAAAAAGATTAAAGTCATATGAAATGTGTGTGTTTCGTATGGTAACAAAATATTGTTTTTATAAAGTTGTGTATAGTTTTGACAAAAGTGTTCCATTTTGCAAATGATCTGAAGTGTTGTGCTACTTTGGTGTAGGGTTGTGTTAATTGTGTGTAGTGTTTTGACAAACCGGGCCCTGTTTTCAAAATTGTGCTTAAGCAATCGTAAAAAACTGTAAAGTCTCTACTAATGAACTGACGAGTTGAGTCAGGTGTGTTAGATGAGGGAGACAGTGCTGCGGTACTACAGGACCGTTTTAAAAACCATTTCAGAGACATGTTCTTAAATCTGACTCATATAAAATATATTACATGCATGCACAGTTTAAAGGCAGCTTTAATCACCTTTTTGGTAACTTCATGAGTTAACTGACCACGACATTGCATGCACGTAGTTTATTTCATGCTTTGATATGCTCGTAAAGACGATCTGTGACTAAATAAATGAACTTCTTGACAAGAAAACAGCAGTTGTGAGAGGGGTGGCCAACCCTAGCTCCGCTCCTGCGTTAATTGCGTAAAATATTTTTAACACGTTAAACTGAAAAAAAATAATCACCTGTGTTAACGTGCTAATTTTGAAAGCACTAATTTTAATTCCTCTTTATTTCTATTTATTTATGTATTTATTTAATGTATTATTTTCCCTGGGAATCGAACCCACGACCTTGGTGTTACTAGCACCATGCTCTACTGATTGATCTAGAACATTTTTATCAATTTTTGTATTGATTTATTCAGTTATTTATTAACTTATTTATTTATTGTAATTAGCATTAAATTTAACTTGAGTTCAGTGTTTTTTAAGGCACTGTTCCTAACTACGTACTAAACAAAAGAATATTATATTTCCAACATGTTTTGCTTTTTATTTTAAAAAAATGTTGTCAAGGAGCTTAATTTCAGTCAATGAGAATGTTAATTCTCTTAACAGTTTTAGTTATATACAATACCAGCACTGGAACCTTCTACAGTGAATCATATGTGTCTTGTTTATGTGGAGCTGCAGCATTTGACGTGTGATGCACATGGAGTGTGATTTTGTCCGTCTTTGGTCTCTGCAGAGTCACGGATGCGGGCGTCAGTAGCGGTGTCCTCGTTCGATCACTCCACGCCATTTAAGAGACCGCACTCCACCATCTCCAACAGCAGCTCGTCCTCGTCCAGCAGCCAGTCCTCGTCCTCTCTGCTGAGCTCTCTGAACCTGCACCTCCATCCGTCCCTGAGCCACTGGCCCTACGACTGCATCGAGGAGGACGAGCTCGAGCACGACTCCACGAGTGAGTGACACTGAAGACTGGAGGAATGATGCTGAAACTTCAGCTTTGATCACAGCAATCAATTACAGTTGAACAGACATTCACCTTCTCTTACTATTAGACAAGATTCTGTCCAGTTCCTCTTCCTGTTCCGTCTCAAAACAATACAATATTTCTGATCGTTTTATTATTAATTGTTCTTGCTGTGACGTTTCATTAGCCATCATATGGTGTTTTATACTCAACAAGGCTGCATATATTTAATCGAAAATACAGAAAACTGTGCTGCACTATACTGTTTTGTATTTCAAAATTCACTTTTGATCAATTTAATGCATCCTTGCTGAATAAAAGTTTTATTCTGAATAAATTCTATATAAATAATGAATGTTTCTGTAATAGTTGTGTATAGCTGAGAAGGGCTATATGTAAGTGTTGTGTTGTGCGTCTGCAGTGAGTGTCCAGCATCATCCTGTGTTAGTGATGGAGAGCTACACCTGTGACGGAGGCTCGTATCTGTCCCCGTCTCCACCCGAAGTCACGTCCTCCATCCTCTACCACGAAGAGCAGGAGCTGCAGAGTCAGAGCAGCACGTTCATCACAGCGGTGAGAGAGCAAACCCACACGCTCATGCATAACCATTACTAAAATGATGGGGAAAAAAACATTAGGCCTTAATTGAAGATTTATATATTTTAATTTGCATGTAACATTTCCATTCATTTGGATCACACTGTTTTTAACAAATGTGACATTGGACCACGAAAACATTATAAGGTTTAATTTTTTGAAATTGAGATTTACATATCATATAAAAGCCAAATAAATCATCTTTCCATTGATGTATGGTTTGTTAGGATAGGACAATATTTGGCTGAGATGCAACTATTTGAAAATCTGGAATCTGAGGGTGCAAAAAAATCTAAATATTGAGAAAATCATCTTTAAAGTTGTCCAAATGAAGTTCTTAGCAATGCATATTACTAATCAAAAATTACGTTTTTATATATTTACGGTAGGAGATTTACAAAATATCTTCATAGAACATGATCTTTACTTAATATCCTAATGATTTTTGGCATAAAAGAAAAATCAATAATTTTGACCCATACAATGTATTTTTGGTTATTGCTACAAATATACCCCAGCGACTTAAGACTGGTTTTGTGCTCCAGGGGCACATATAATAAACTTAATCTGATGCATATTTGTCAGTCTTACAGAAATGAAACTGGTCAGATTTCTCTAATATAGTAATAATAAACTGAATGTGTTTTATTTGTACAGTAACCAAGTTTATGTATTTATCATCAGTAAATCAAATTTGTTTAAATCTCAAACATTTTCACTAATTGAATATCACTTGTTCCACAGCTAGACATGTTTTAACCATGTTCATACTGAATGAATGAATAGGGAAATAAATAAATGAATAAATAATAGGGAAATAAATGACTTGCTAAAACAAATACAATTATTATTCAATTTAGTCCTGCATTTTTGTATTACCTTTTCCCCCTTTATTTGTTATTTTCTTTATTTCTCTTTAACCACATTTTTTATTCTTTCATTTCATTTTATTCTATTATGTTGTTTATTATTCAGGGTTTAAACAAATAATTGAAATTAAAAAAAATGGAAATAATGTAACCAAAATCAAATGGAAGAGTTAATAATAAACTATGCCATGATTTTTATTTTATTCATGCATTTATGAATTTTTTTTTTTTTTTTTTTCTGTATGACTGACAAATATGCATCACATTGAAATGTATTTGTTTTTGTTAAAACTGTGTAATCCAATGGCATGGAAATTTTAAATGCAATTCAAATACATCAATTTTAAATGAAGACCTAAATATTTTTTACGTTTACTGGTGCCAAGCATCACTATTTCAGACATGTAACTGACGTGTTCTGCAGCTGTTCTTCCTCTCGTCGTTTTTCTAACAGTAGTTTCGTCTGACGTGTTTGTTTTACCAGAGCAAGACTTCAGGTCTGTTAGGCCTCTCGACTCTGGTCTGAATCAAACGCTTCAGATCAGTAAGTAACCGTGTGCTTCCTGATGACGCTCTCAGAGAAACCCTTTGTGTTGAGCTGCATGTGTGTGTTGGGCTTCAAGGGTCCTCCTGGTGCTTCAAGCAGTGTTCTGGGTTATTTTGAGCTTAATGAGACAGTAACGTCATCCTCAGTGAGTCTGAACGTGCTGAAACACATTTACAGTAATGCATTTACAGTGGAAATCTACATGCATTTACATGCACTTCATGTTTTTAGTAAAGCACTTTTAAGTTGCTTTAGTTTATCAATAAAAATGTCTGTTGCTTTAGCTGCAATATCATCCTTTTGAGGCTGAAGCAATGGTTTTGCATTACTGTCTCTCACTGAGGAACGAGTTGACGGCATTGTCATGTATCACATGTGCGATGCATGCACTTTATGTTGAAAATAACCGTGCGATGCACATGCACTACAATGCATGTTGAAGATCCTGTGTGTCGAGTCTTATTTGTGTCGAGACGTTTTGTGCATCTAAAGCAAGAAGGCTTTTTGAGAAAAATGAGTTGCATAAATGCTGTGAAATCATGCAGCGAGCATCGCTCACGCAGACGAATGAGCCGGGCGGTTCCCTGCAAAGATGCGTTCACACTGACAGCGATTCACAGCATTTTCAGTGACCGCTGACTATGTGAGAGCGACTTTTGACAATACATCAGTATCGTCAGACTTTACTGTACAGTGGGAAACTGTAAACATTGAGCAGAAACTACGGCTGCACAATATTGTAAAAAAAAGAAACTGGCATTGTGATATGCAGAAAAACTGGATTTTTTTTGTTTTTCTGCAATATTGGCGATATGAAAAAATACAGGAATTTTTTTTCTCTAATATTGATATGACAACATACAGGATTTTTTTTTTTTTGCAATATTTGCAATATTAAAAAATACAGGAATTTTTGTTTTTCTGCAGTATTTGCGATATGAAATATACATGACTCTTTTTTTGCAATATTTGTCATATGAAAAAATACATAATTTTTTTCTGTAATATTGATGATATGACAACATAAAGGATTTTTTTTGCAACATTTGCAATATGAAAAAATACAGGAAATATTTTTCTGCAGTATTTGCATCATGAAAAAAAATCATTTTTTTTATTGTGAATTTTGTTTTTGTTTTTGTAATATTGATTAAATGAAAAAATACAGGAAATGTTGTATTTCTTTCTATTTGTGATATGAAAAAATATTTTTTAAAAAAAGGTAATTGTGCAGTTTTGTTTTTCTGTAATATTGACAATGTGAAAAAATACAGGAAATGTTGTTTTTCGACAGTTTGCGATATGAAAAAATATTTTTTTTAAAATTTGAATTGCGAATTTTCGTTTTTCTGTAATATTGATGATATGAAAAATGCAGCATTTTTTGTTTTTGTTTTCAGGAAATATTTTTCTGCAGTATTTGCATCATGAAAAAAAATCATTTTTTTTATTGTGAATTTTGTTTTTGTTTTTGTAATATTGATTAAATGAAAAAATACAGGAAATGTTGTATTTCTTTCTATTTGTGATATGAAAAAATATTTTTTAAAAAAAGGTAATTGTGCAGTTTTGTTTTTCTGTAATATTGACAATGTGAAAAAATACAGGAAATGTTGTTTTTCGACAGTTTGCGATATGAAAAAATATTTTAAAAAAATTTGAATTGCGAATTTTCGTTTTTCTGTAATATTGATGATATGAAAAATGCAGCATTTTTTGTTTTTGTTTTTTCAATATTTGCAATATGAAAAAAATACAGCAAATGTTGTTTTTCTGCAATATTTGCGATCTGAAAAAATACAAATATTTTGACCAGATGATTTAAATATCTATATTTGGAAGAATGAATAATTCTAGAATGAGTGAGGCTAATTTGTTTGTAAGTGCATCTGCATAGTCTATAAAAATAACTTTAAGAAGCTAAAAATTACTTTTTTATTGCGAAGAGTTTTGTTTGACTATAAAACTACATATTTTTATTATGATTATTATTAAATACAAATATTAAACAAACTAAAAAGAAAATGAAAAGATACAAAGAGTTTTAAAATATACCAAAAACAATATACCAAAGTGTTGAAAGAAAATCAAATCTCTTTGTAATTATTATTAAATAAAAATCTTACAATTACAAATTAAGGTACCCATTGCAATAATGCAGGAGGATTTAATAAAAAATAATACAGTTGTACAATGGATAATGCATGCATGTGGGCAAATCTAGTTGTCTAATAAATCTAGAATTAAATATTTCAAATATTATTGGCTCTTTTGTAAGTTGCTAAATGCATAAATGTAAATGAACACGATTTGGCTGTTGCATATATATATATATACACACACACACATGATCGCTGTCAGTGTAAACGGCTCTTAATAAACATCAAACAGTATCAACAGCACATCAGCTGCGTCACAAAACTTCTCTTCTTTTTCATTGCAGCTGTGAATCCTTTGAGACGGAGCGACGGACAGCAGTGTTCGGACAGACAGAGATCAAATGCACTGAGACATTTCATCATATCATCATTTCATAGACTGATAATCGTCCAGAGCCGCACTGATGAATATGAAAATATGAATTCTGACTGCAGTGCTGGTACGTTACAGGACCCAGATCACGGATCTACATTAATTCAGCTGTTTTATTTTGACTCCTTTCATTCTGAGACTGCAGATTCTTCACCTCTCGACGTCTGACTCAGTATTTCTGATTGTACAAATAGTTGAACAAACTGAGTTCTGATGCTACTACAGGATTGCATTGTTAATAAAGATTGAGTCCGACATTTTACCATGAAAATAAAAATAAAACAACAGTAATTAAAATCAAATTGAATTTTGTAATTTATTAAAAACTCAAGTGCACAAGTAACATAAAGAAATAAGCCCTTTTGAATTACATTAATTCAGTATATAAATGTGAAAATATGTACAGAGGAATAATATCCAGCTTTACAGCTAATAAAACAAAATAATAAATAAAGCTGTCACCATTTTAAATCATTGTTTTGGTTCATTCATTTCATATAAAAAAAATAAAGATAAAGAAAAATGTACACACACACTGACAGAGAGACACACACACACACACTCTCACACAAACACAGACAGAGACACACTCAAACACACACTCACACACACGCACAGACAGAGACACTCACACACACACAGACAGAGACACACACTCAAACCCACACACACACACACAGACAGAGACACACACTCACACACACACACACACACACACAGACAGAGACACACACACACACACACACACACACACACACACACACACGCTTCATCTTCAGCTGACAACAATCTTTACATCAGACGAGACCTGCTTTGAAAACTTGAATCAATAATTTCATTTTAATCCTACAGGATCAACTTCATGAAGTCTGTAAAGCACATATTCAGGTTATATTTTACCTCACAATCAAAAGAAAGAAACATTAAATTATATTTTGCAGAAATGTCTTTTTTTTGTATACATTATAAGTCTTCATGACATTTTTAAGCAGATTTTCCCCACAAATTCTCACTGTAATGCAATGAAGATATAATACTTCAATTTTATTAATACATTATTTAAAAGTATATTTTTAGGTTTATTTATGCATTTTAATACAATTTATTGAATTGCCTATAATTTATGCTTATTTCACTGAAAACAACCCATTGTATTACAGAAATTTTAATATGCTTAACTGTCATAAAATAGCATCACAATGCAACGAATATTAATTGTCCTTCAGATAGGCTTGATATTCTTCATGCAAAATGTATTTTATAAAATAATTTATAATAATTTTAATAATTTTTTATATTATAAAATAAAAAATTAAAATAAATAAATTATAATGAAATACATTATAATACTTTGTTACAAAATAAAATAGTATATATATATATAATTTTTCCTCCACTTTTGATTTTGACCTGCTTGTGTTTTTCTGAGATTCACACAGTTTGTATTTGGTATCTTTCAATAATTAAAAATGTTGACATATACGTATCTATTACTGTCCCATTTGAAAACATGTTTTATGCATTTAATAAAACTCGATGCAAGAGTAAATGTGAAGGACAAATGTTCATAACTGCAGGAATTCTTGATTATTATTATTCTACCTTGTTCTGGATGGTATCTCCACCTGGATGAAGATCAACAATCAGGAGAATCGTTCCGATCCCAGACACAAGCAGACACCCGATGTTAACGATGAAACAAGTCTGGAACATAAACCAGAACGACCGCTCGTACTTTCCAGAAGCTGAATTAATATTATTCAGACACACACACACTAACCTGTAGAAGCTCAGGGTGTTTGTACAGAAGATTCGACAAGATTCCAGCGAAGACAAACTGGAAGACAAACAGCAACCCCTTCAGACTGTCACATCAAATGATCCCCATTATTAATAAATATAGCGATTATTTTCAGTGTTGGGGAACGTTACTTTTAAAAGTAATGCATTACAATATTGCGTTACTTCCTTAAAAAAGTAACTAATTACGATACTTAGTTACTTTTATGGAAATTAATGTGATACGTTACTTTTGCGTTACTTTTTAAATCTGGGCGGGGCTTGCTTGTTTGCTTTTAATATAAAAAGTTATATTTTTGGCAAATATAAAAGCCTTTTCACACCAAAAGCCTCAGGCTGAAGAAAATGTAAACAAGCCCTTTCACACCAAAAGCCTCAGGCTGAAGAAAATGTAAATTCACGTCTGTACAGCAGAATGCAGAAGAAGAAAGTTCAACACTCCACAGCAATAAAACATTAATTGAGCTTTCAATCAATAAATGGGAAGCAAAGTATAACTGGTGTTACTTATTTGAAAAAGTAACTCAGATATTTTCTTGTAAATGAAAAAGTAATGTGTTACTTTACTAGTTACTTGAAAAAAGTAATCTGATT